AGTTCGTGGCAGAGGTCCCAGGATGTCAAAGGCGATACGTTCAAAAGGCGCACCTTTCGTTGTAACGTTGCAGTCTGCCTCGGCCGCGTTTCCTCGGTCCTTTCCGACCTGCACAGGCATCGCAAGATCGGCACCACTTTTGCACGTCATTCTTTGCATTATTCCAGTAAAAGCGCTCACGAACTCTCTGTAAGGTCTTCATAATTCCAAAGTGACCTCCTGTAGGGCTGTTATGTAGTTCTTTGAGGACATCAGGAATCCGGGATCTTGGAAGTATCAGTTGCCATCGGAACGTCTTCCCATCATCCGACTCGAATTTCCGGTATAAGACGCCGTTTTCGAATGTGAAGTGAATCCCAGAGTGCCCAGTATTGTTTTGTTGTAGGACTAGAAACAGATAGAAATGTCCTGCCATGGTAGGTTTTCTGTTTGATGACTCTATTAAATCAAGTATGGGTTTAATGTCGCGGTCTTCCAGCTGGTCTTTTCCTGACTTCATCATCACTCCACGGGTTTTCGATCAGCCGATGTTGATGTTGTAATTTGTCTTGCGACCGGAGTCAGCAGCTCGTATTTCGCTTCCACCCTGGAACAATATCGGCAGCTTTTTTTTGGCAAGGTCTTCTAGACAGGGCGTCGGCGTTTCCGTGTGATGATCCCTTACGATGACGGATAGTGATGTCATATTCTTGGAGTCTCTGTATCCACCTGGCTATTTGACCCTCAGGATTTTTGAAATTTAAAAGCCAGGCCAATGAGGCATGGTCCGTGCGGAGGAGGAATTTTCTCCCGTATAGATAATGATGGAAATGTTCTACAGCTTTGACTATGGCGAGCAACTCTTTCCTTGTGACACAGTAATTCCTCTCCGGTTTAGACAGGCATTTGCTCCAGTAAGCTACTACACGTTCTTGGCCGTCTATTTCTTGGGACAAAACAGCACCGACACTTTCATTGCTCGCGTCGGTGTCGAGAATAAATGGTCTGTCGAGCTGAGGATACGTCAGGATTGGAGCAGATGTTAAAGCTTCCTTAAAAGTTGTTAAATGCATCCTCGCATTCCTTTGTCCACAAGAATCTTTTGCTTGCTCTCTGTCAGCTTGTGAAGTGGGTCTTGCGATGGAAGAAAAGTTCTTCACGAATCTCCTATAGTAGGTGCAAAGCCCTAGGAAGCTTCTCAGCTGATGGACATTTTCGGGACGCGTCCAGGATTTAACCGCTGATACCTTTTCAGGATCCGTGCGCACACCTTCTGCAGAGATGACATGTCCCAGGTAAGTCACTTCCTTTCGAAACAATTTGCATTTAGCGGGAGTCAGCTTCAGATTGGCCTCTTTCAGTTTCTGAAGCACCTTTCTAAGATTTTCTAGATGCTCTTCAAAACTCTTTCCGACGATGATGATATCGTCCAGGTATATCAGACAGGCTTCGTAGGAAAGGCCTTTCAAAACAGTCTCCATAAGACGTTCGAATGTTGCCGGCGCATTACACAGTCCAAACGGCATCACTTTGAACTGCCAAAGTACTTGTCCCGTAGTAAATGCCGTCTTTTCTCGGTCATCAGGATGGATTTCTACCTGCCAATACCCACTCTTTAAATCAAGTGTTGAGAACCACTTGCTTCCAGAAAGAGTGTCTAGAATGTCATCAATTCTAGGAAGAGGGTAACTGTCTTTCTTCTTCGTAACCTCATTCAACCGGCGATAGTCAACGCAAAATCTTGTTGAGCCGTCTTTCTTTCTGACGAGAACGATGGGAGATGCCCATGGACTCGCTGAAGGCTCGATGACATCGCCTTCTTCCATATCTTTTAACAGTGTTCGCACCTCTTCCTGTTTAGCAAACGGTAGACGTCTTGGATGTTGCTTGATCGGGGGATGATCGCCAGTATCTATTCTATGTTGTGTCAAACTAGTTCGACCCACGTCAGAAGACGAGCGGGAGAAAACAACTTGAAGATCTTTAATGACGCGATCGGCAGCATTTTTCTCTTTATCGTTTAATTGTGCATTCTGCAATAACTCCGATGTAATGCTCTCTGAGGACACGGATTCTGGGATGTTACTCTTTCTTTCAACGCTGGTTACTGGAGTACATGTTGCAACCATTTCACCTTTCTTAATAACTCTCGACTTTTCAGTTACATTGGCGACTCTCACCGGGATAACCGTTCTGGATAGGTCGACGAGTGTTGAGGCTACTAGTACTCCTTTTGGGATATTACAGTTATTGGGATATTCTATGATGCCGTAGCGGAAATTTCTATTTTCGGCTATGGATCCAGGAAGTAAAATTTCTGTTCTTGCCGGTATTGTGATATAGTCTTGTGCTATGATTTTACGGACAGATTTAACTTCTTCATCATTAACGAGAAATAACGCTATGTCCTCAGATGTAGAATGCAATTCGTTATTTTTAAAATCCAAGGAAAAATTGTATTTCCTTAGAAAGTCCAATCCGAGTATGCAAGAATCAGTGATCTCTGCTACATATGCCGTGTGATGGTAAGCGGCACTTCCAAACGTGATGTTAACATTTACTTTTCCGTCGATGTCGATCTTCTCACCGGACACAGTCTGGAGGGTAACGCAGGGCGGCGTCCAGATAAGTTTGTTTCCTAGTTGTTGAGCCAAATCTTTTCGGATGATGGTGACGTTGGCTCCTGTATCTATAGTCATATTGCACGGAACTCCATTAATATGTCCTATTATGAAAAGTCCATTACTGCCGCCTCTCACTGCAGAAATCTGAAGCGCTTTAAACGGGGGCTTTTCATTATCTGGCAACCTCCGCCCCGCGAGATGGCCACTAATTAGTTTCCCTGCTGCTTGTTAGAAGCGGTCTTAACATCAGTACCCTGGGGTGTTTTGCAGTTTCGTCGTATGTGTCCTTCAGCACCGCAGTTCCAGCACTTAACGGTCGGTTTCTTCTCACCAATATTCCGTCTCAAGGCGTTCAGTTGTCTAGTTAAATCGTCAAGTCGAGCGGTGACTTGATCCCCTGGCTCCTGGACTTGAGCAGCTCTGACTGGGTGGCGGTCTCGACGAGTGGCTTGCTGGGCTGCCTCAAATTTCATGGCGTACACTAGAGCACTTTTTAATCTTTTACATCCGCCATTCGTAGAGCTTTCTGTATTCTGAAGTGTTTCGGTAGGCTTCTGTTGTCGAGATTTTAATTGGAGCCTGCTGTAGTCTTTTAAACACTTCTCCCCAAAGCGCAACTCCAAGGCGCCGGACAGAGCTTCGAAATCTAATCTTTTGTTTTCGGGAAGAGTCTGAAGGATATCCGCTGCGTCGGCTCTTAGAGAAGCGGCGAGATGACAGGCCTTAGCTTGGGAATCCCATCCATTCGCATCCGCCACGATAGAAAATTGTGTCTTATACACCTGCCAGGAGGTCTTCCCATCATATGTGGATAGCTTCAGAGGTGGACGAGCAGGCATTGGTAAGAATTTAAAATCATCACTCCTGCTCCCTGCCGACGCTACGAATTTCTTTAAAGTATCCATTTCTTTGGCAACTGCAGAAAACTTTCTCATCAATTTGTTGTTCGATTTGGTGTTGGACGGCACAAACTCTTCCTTCAATTCGTTCCTCCACAGCAGAAACTCTCCCTTCTATATGTTCTTTTACAGAAGAAACTCTTTCTTCTATTTCTTCTTTCACCGAAGAAAACTCTTTCTTCAATATGATCTTTTACGGAAGAAACTTTTTCTTCAATATGTCCAACTTTATTTTTAACTGCGTCAATTCTGCCTTCCATAGCTTCAAATTTATTTTCTATTATGCAAGGTAATTTTCTCTTTTCATTTCTTCTTGACCAGCTTGAACGGCTTTCATTTCGTCCTTAACGGATGTCTGGCCCAATTTCATCAATTTCTTTCTTCCTTAACGGATTCCTGGCCCAATTTCATTTCTTTCTTAACGGATTCCTGGCCCAATTTCATTTCCTCTTTAATTTCTTCTTTAAATGAGGCAAAGGCTGATATTAACTGCCTTAATTGCTCTCCCATCGCTCTTGTTATTGGCATTCAAACCCCACTCCTGACACCAAAAATTGTTGCGTGCGTACGGGTTCGTTATGAAATGAATGCACAAGTCCGATGAAAAATGAACAAAAAAAAATTTATTATTATCACAACAAAAAAATGCTTAAATTTTCTCAAATTATCATGCAGTATTACAATATCTCACAGTAGTTATCTTTTAACTACTCAAATGTCAATAGAACGCAATTAAAAACAGCTAAAGAACGCTAATCCGCGAATTCGCTACAATCAACAAGAGCAGTTTTCTAAACAACAACAAACTAAGCAACTACTACAAACTGAGATGTTTTCCTCCTTTTATAAGATTTTAAAATCACACGCTAGAATTTTCCAGTACTTTCTCGAAATCAAAAAGAGATATTTATTTATTTAATGCACACGCTCTTGTATTTTTAATTTTACGGCTTAGCTTTCTTTTAATATTCGTCACGCGCTGCACTGCGCGAGAAATAAAATCATTTAATTTGTAATTGAACTAACATTAGCTTTTTAAATACCAAATTCGTAACAATATTTTCAACCATGTTGCTTAAATCTTAAAGCGTGCGAAAGGTCATGTGACATGACAGAAAATATTGCTGGATGTTTATTGGTCTATCCTAGAAGCCACTCCCTCGGTGGCTACACAGATGTGCACTTGTGAAATATGCCTCCGGTGCACTCCGGCTAAAATTATAATTTATCTTAAAAATTGAGAAGCACCGGAGTCGTGCTCCGGTGGGCTCCGGCGCAATTTAAGCACTGCTGTATTTTAATTCTTTAGTTACCAAAATGGTGAAAATGAAAAAAACCCGGATTCTAAAAAAGCTGTATGTAAATAAATTTTAGATGTACTGTTTACTTTGTCACAAATTTCCCGTTATTAAAATTAATACTTTATTAAATAATGATTCGTGTAAGAAGAACTCACTGTTAATAAGAGCATTGAATGCGTTGAATTCTTTTTATGTAGAGATCCGATGTCCAGATCCAGGGGTTCCAGAGCATGGCCTTTCTTCTAGTAGAAGCTTAAAAATTGGCAGCGAAGTCGCCTTCCATTGCCTAGCGGGTTACAATCTCATCGGATCATCTAAAATTTATTGTATGCCTAATGGTGAATGGAACGGAGAAGTCGCCAGATGCGACAGCAAAGGTAAGTCTAATGAATTGAAAAACATAACAGTCTGCCTCTAGCATGCAATCAAAGTAACAATTATGTAACCAATAACTGCACCTGCCTTTTAAGTTGCTTTTCGTTTACTTACCACAAATAAATGGCGTCTTCGATTTTCAGTCACCGAGCAAAAGACGTCTCAACTCTTTTTTTTCTGCATAGACACATGTTTTATTTCTTTTCACATTCGCCGCTGAAAACGAGGGTTCCACTTGACATTCGAACCTGTGCAGTCATACAAATTTATTTAAAGTTACTCCAGTTCATATTGCTAATTATTGATTTCTTTGGTGTTTACACGTTGTTTATTGCTTGTAAAGAGGCAAAATTTTCTATGATACAAAAAATTATTTCAGTGAGATATCTTTGTTGGATTACGTGATTAAAAGTTGAAGCGTATTTAAGATCTGCTTACTGTCCTAGATAACTATTGCCCTGACCCTGGAACTCCTGTGAATGGAATGAAGAATAACAGTTATTATGTAATGGGAAGTAAGATTCAGTGTAGGCCTGGTTATGCTTTCATGGGATCGGATGTTATAGAATGTCTACCAAACAGGACATGGTCAGCAAAAGAAATAAAATGTATCGGTAAGTTTAAAATCTTTATTATAAAACATAAAATATTTTAGGGCGTCAATTTTTTTTTATGCTGAGGTACAATCCGCCTTTTAGCAAGCAATCTGGGAACTAAAATTACAACAAAGAAACCAAATAACAGGATCATATTTTAGATATTAAAGAAGCTTGTCAACTTAAACTGAAACGTAAACTAATTTCAAACATAAATTAGCATCTGCTTTAAAGAAAAGCTTTATACATTGAGGCAGGATTCGATACATGCTACTTATTTTTTATGTTAGAATGTAACAAGAAATGCTTTTACTTGTTGAAGAAGAAACACTTGTATAACGTTTGCTTCAAAGGCATACAAATTTTTCTTAAAAAAAAAAAAAAAGCGACAATGTAATGTTGAATTTTGTTTTAAGTTAAAATCACCATGTCTAGATGGCCTCAGTTGGAGAGAGATCTGGAGAATGTGCTGTCTAGAACAACAGTGAAACACGCTCTGTATCGAGAAAGGTTAGGACAGCAAGGGAAACATGCGGTCTTACAAAGGGAAACACGCAGTGTGAGCAAAAATGTGACACAACTGTAGAGAAATCTTACGAATTCTGTTTACACCTGCAACGAAAAATACAGAGTTAGTACAATCAATGTTATTATTACAAACAATTATAATTAGGGTAAACATTTATGGACGCCCTGTATATGGTGGACAGAGAATATATGCAATACAAATCCCAATTCAATTGAGATATATTTCTAGATTACACAGTGTACCTATCAAAGTTTAAATGAAATGATATTAAAATACACTATTTTAGACAATTATATACAACTAAATGTAAATGAAATTAAATATAAAAATAAAGAAGGATTATATATACACTCTAACACAAAATAAAAGACGCACCAAGAAGAATTTATCCGAATGGGACGAAAATCGATAGATATGATGTAACGTACAAAAAACAAATGATAACAACTTCACAAAAACTGATGATTTTGTGAAAAGAAAGAAGCTTTACAAATTGAGAGAGAAAGAGCTTCACAAATTGAGCAAGTCACTTACACGTTGGTCGACATCTGGTCCTTAAGCATCTGATCTTGATCTTGAATGCTACTCGGCACTGATTGATAGAGTTGGTGAATGTCCTCCAGCTGGATATCAGACCAAATTCTGTCCAATTGCCACGTTAGATCGGCAAAATTCCGAGCTGGTTAGAGGGCCTTGTCAACAATACTCCAAAACGTTGAAATGAAGACGTTCAATGGACGTTCTCTAAAACGTTCCAATGGAAGAGAGATCCGGGGTCCTTGCTGGTAAAGTTAGTATTAGGTAAGCACGAAGACAAGCAGTAGAAACTATGTATCTTGCTGATATGTAAGCTCAGAATGGCTGATATGAATTGTAATACAACGAGCCGCAAAATATCGTCGACGTATCGTTGTGCTGCAAAGGAGCAGTGGATGGCAGCCAAAGGGGTCCTGCTATTAAATGAAATGGCACCACAGCCCATCACTTCTGGTTCTCGGGCCGTATGGTGGATGACAGTCAGGTTGGTATCTCACTACTGTACGGGGCGTTTCCAGATATGTCATCGGGACTCATTTAGAAGAGGAACTGAGCACCGAAGACAATTCTACTCCAATCAGTGTCATTCCAGTTCGAATGTGCCCTACACCGTTGCAAACGGGCTTGTCGGTGTCTAGAGTTCAGTTTTAGTCGGCAGTTCGACCATTGTTCACCCATTCCTGCCAACATCGTCTAATAGCGACATCGCTCCTATCCAAATGTCGGGAGGTTTTCTGATTACAACAACCGGGTTCTTTGAGGCCAACTACACGTCCCCTCTCAAATACTGACATCTTCTCATATTGTTCGCGCACCTATATGTGAGGCATAGTTATTGTCTATCTGAGTACACAAAATGAAATTCGAAAGAATTTATAACCTGGAATTAAAATTTCTCCTTTTTACTATCCTGCCAGTTGCGCAGTTAAGATGCGCTGCTGCCTCTCACGTTCATTCATTGGCTGCCAAACTTTAAAATTTTGCCAAGCTTGCAAAAAAACTGGTACAGAAGTTGTTCAAAAGATACCCAGAAATTGTTCTTACCATTCTACAAGATTATACATTCTTAAATCTTTGAAACGAAAACGGAGAAGTGAACTTATGATGCCTCTCTCAACCAATAGCTAGAGGGACATCTTGGAAAGGAAATTACCATACAAACCACAGGGAACAGCTGTGGCCAGTTTTAGGCTTGAAACTGGTCACGTCTGCTTGGCGAGCCATCCCTATCGTGTGGGTATTCTTACCAGTCCAAACTGCCTACTTTGCATTTTAAAAGAAGAAATACGCGGGTTCCACAAAGGAAAGTGCCGGCGCTACGTGCAGCCTCTGAGGCGGAGAGGTATTAGAGCGTTAGGCTGTGTTCAGACGGCAGCGTAAAGGGCATAGAGGCGTAGTCGTAAGGGCATAAAATACGGGAATTTCGTTCACACTTGCGAGAACGGGGTGTAAGCCGTGGCCAATGAGAGGAGCTAAATTTGCGCATGCATGGATGTGTCTACAACTTTCCCGCGCTGTTCTCCTGCTCGATTGATTTCCCGCGTTCGCTCTGCTTGTTTTGTGACAGCGAAATCTTCTATAGAACGCCGCTTCGTTTTAGTTTCTCTCTGATTGGTCGACGCTTATCCCAAACTCGGCGTAAAGTTGGATTCCGAGGATGGACGGCGAGGGTGACGGTCGATCGTGTTACGAGCTCCCGCCAACGCAGGGCAATTCCGGAAATATTATCATGGAAAATGATACTAATGATGACATAATGTGTGAAATTAGGGATCAGGCTCCCTCTGTGCAATCGCCCACCAGCGGCTGAGCGGTAAAGTCGCTGAACACTGGTAGTTCGGTCCGAGGTTCGAATCCCGCGAACGGGATGGATGCATGGGCGTTTTCGTGGTTTTCCCCATGTGTAACGTGTATACGAGCCAGTTTTCCTTAGAAAGTCCTCCACGAAAGTCATCCCTCCCCTTAGGCAGATAGCCCTAGTGTGCTTTTCCGTATTCTCAATACACACACACACACACCCTCTGTGCAATCAGCGTCGCCAGATGACGAACGCATGAACCTGGTAATCAAGTTTTATGACCTGAAACAGCAATTTGAGGCCATACAGCGTCAGAAGAACTTCATGAAGAAGACGCCAACGCCACTGGATCAAAATGGATACGACCAGCTCGACCGGGCGGGTAAGTCACTTTTTCACAAGATTAATGATATTGCTAATGCTCTGGATGTACCTATTTTTCCACCTTCCCTCGACCAGAGAGGAATTCTTAAATATATTGGAGAGCGAGCGCTTAGCCAAGATGGCTGCCGCTCAATCCACAGAAGATCCTCGTAAGCAAGAGGCATCTATTCCCACGCACGAGGTGCGGGAGAAACCAGTCCAGTCTACGTCATCGCGGAAGCGAAAGACGCAGACAATAGACTCTGACGGGTTTATCACCCCTGCGGCTCGAAAGCAAGGGAAGGCGCCTATTGTGGATCTAACAAAAGACGATTTGGCAAACAACAGTAAAGATGCAAATTCTACTATTCCAAATTCTAAATTATCAGGCAATTCAAAAAATGCTACTCCTAAAAAGGAGAGGATTGTAAATAAATATGAACGAATTAGAAATTCAATTATCAATGATGATAAAAATGACGCTGAAAAGAATAATGAGAGCGCCACTGAGGGAGTTAATTCCGAGCAGGCACGGAACGTATCCCCCCCCACCGCAGCCTGAGATTCCGGCAATTCATTTCAAAAGCAGCAAGAACTGGAAGACACAAGTGTCTTTCATGAGAGAAATTGCCCCAAATTTACGGAGCATCCTGACTGGACCCTATCTAAAAATTTTTGTTCAAACAGAGCTGGAGTTCAGGGAGGTCACCCGCTGGATGAAGCAAGCCGGCATCCAGTTCAAAACTTTCGATCTCAAGCAGGACCGACCAGTCAAAATTGTCATCAGAGGCCTCCCTGTTGAAACAGACTCGGGCATCAAAGAGGAAGTGAGCGATGGATTTGTGCTCGCTCGTTCGCTATCAGCGCTCCGAACCAATCATGTATTACATTACATCCGTACGTTTTTTTGCATTAAAAATGTTTGCGGCCCAAGGCCCAAGGCGATATTTTCCGGAGTACCTTTGCAACTTAATGCAATTACCTCCACAACTTCGTTAAGGAAAACTGAGGTGATTAAGACAAAGCACTGGCTGAAGGGTAATGAAGGAGACCATTAAGGGTTTACTAGAGAAGGAAGTGAATAAGGAGTCCATTCTATGGACGATAAATTCTTTCTGCTTTCAACGCTAGGTTGAAAGAGAGAGAGGTGATGGATAAGGCGAATTCCTGAATGCATTGCATTAATGGAATCGGAAAGATTGAAAGACAATTAGCCGGGAAACATAATTTTCCAGGGCTCGGGAAAGGTATATTAGGTAATACGGAAAACCGCAGTAATCGCTAATGCCTTGGGGATGGGCTGGGGGGGAGAGAGTCTTACGACTAAAGCTCGGAGCAAGGGATGGTGAAACGAAAAGAAGGGGGGAAAAGGATTCAGGAGGCGAAAAAGTTCTCCTACCGCCCGTGGCGAGAGTACAATAGGAGCAACTTTTGAAGCGGAAAGAACCGTGAAGAAAGTTAACTGTAGAAAAGACGGAGAAGTTTTAGGATAGTTAAAGGGAAGGGAAGCAAGGAAAAGTGTTATAAGTTGGAGAGGAGAGGTGGATTAAAAAAGGGGAAAGAAATAAAAATTGGGACAGAATTAACCAAAATTACCTGATTGCAGTTGGTGTTTGAAGATATGCAAGCTTGTATATATGCAGATTGCTGGAACAAAAATTCATGAAATAAAAGTGTTTTGAGTAGCATATGGGGGAGTTAGATTTAAAAGATTAGAATATTAATTTAAATTTCAATAATTAAGCAGTTTAAGTTAAATAATTAAGTTAGATGATAAAATAATAAAGAAACGTTAAAACTATTGCAAATCTGATTTATAATTGTCTGGGCCGTGTTTTATGAAAAGATGAGGTCTTGGCAAGTGGAGGGGCATGTTACCTATAGCAGCACGGATATAAAACCGAGAAACGAGGCCGAATTAGGTCCGGCGGGCATGTGGAAGTATAGGAAATTAGTTAAGGGTCGTCCGGGTTAGGCCCGTGAAGTGCTTGTTAATTTAAAAAATTTTTAGAAAGAATTCCTAGTCAAGCAGACACCTCCGCTTTGGCTTCCTAGGAAAGATGTTATAAGTTCTATCAAGAACGCTCCTAGGTCGCTTAGCTGAGCTGGGCTCAGCTGGATCATAAGCAGGAAGTGAATGCAAGACTGGGTTTTCGATCTGCGTTAATCTATTAAAGAATTTGGCCGAATTTTGCCGGAAAAAGGCATCTAGGGGTAGAATTTTGAGATCGTTATGAAGCACTTCATTACGGACGAAATAATGAGCATTTGTCAGGATACGAAGCGTGACGCTCTGGAATACTTGGATTTTCTTTAGATGGCTATTGGCAGCAGTTGACCAGACGACAGCTGCGTACGGTCAGGATCGGTAAGGATGGTACTCTTGTATAAAAGGATCTTATTGTTGAGGGAGAGGTTGCTGGTTCTATTGAGGAGAGACATCAGTTGGGTTCTGGTAGTTCTTGCTTTGGAGATGGCGTAATTGATGTGGGTATTCCAGAGCAGCTTCGCATCTAGATAAACTCCCAGATATTTATAGGATTCCACCCAGGGTATATTTTCTTCAAATAATCTGAGTGGAGGGAGTTGACTATGGACATTCCTCTTTCTGGAAAAGAAAACTGTGGCGGCACTTTTTGCGACATTAATTTTGATTTTCCAGGTAATGAGCCAGGACTCCAAGTCTGTTAAATACAGCTGTAGGTGATTGAGAGTGGCATGTAATGTTGAGTGCTGTGAAATGATGGCTGTGTCGTCTGCATAGAGTGCTAGATCGACACTTGGTGTTTGTGGTATGTCATTTACATACAAGTTGAAGAGCGTAGCGCTAAGAATTCCTCCCTGAGGCACCCCAGCCAGGATAGGGCGAGGAGAAGAGACAGAATATTTAACTTTAACAGAAAAGGTACGATTAGTGAGGTAAGAGTGCATTATGTGCACAAAATTAGCCGAAATTTCAAGTCGCATGAGCTTGAATAAAATTCCGATATGCCAACATCTGTCGAAAGCCTTTGCTACGTCTAAATAAACAATAGCTGTAGGCTTTCCACTGCGAGATCCTGTATGAATGATTTCTACTACCCTCAGTAGCTGGGCCTGAGTTGAGTGTTTAGCACGAAAGCCGAATTGCTGAGGAATAATAATATTTCGGTTTCGGCAGAAATCATTCAGGTATCTAAGCAGTATAGCTTCGTAAATTTTACTAAGTGAAGACAGAAGGCTGATCGGCCTATAATTTTGAGGGACCTTTGGGTCCATTCCAGGTTTTAGAATAGGAATGACTAATGCATTCTTCCAGCTATGGGGATAATATTTTAGCCTTAGCATTGAATTTATCAAAACTGCTAGGTAAAATATGAATTTAACTGGTAAATTTTTAATCATGCGATTAGAAATCCTATCCAGGCCAGGTGCTTTTGCAGGGGTGAGATTTTTGACAAAGCAGAAATCTCAGTCATTGTTGTGGTGATGGGATCCTCAGAATTTGTATCTGAGGAGAGAAATTCTTCAACTTGGTGTTGGACTTCATGCGTGTGCTCTGCACAGGAATCGAACATGAGTCCAGTGTTAGGTGAAAATTGTGTTTGAAGGCTGTCTGCTATGCGTTCAGCCTTTTCGGTGTCTGTTAATGCCATCCGGTCATTGACCGTGCCCATTAGGGGGGGAATGTCGTGTTTTGGTTTGCGAAGCCGTGCGCTAGCAACCCAGAGGCTATTGTCAGAAGTCTTTAAGGACTTAAGATAGTTTGCGTATTTTTCGTCTGTGTATTTCTTAATGTCAGACTTGATCTCATTCTGGATCCTTCGCAGTTGCACTCGAAAGTTTTCCAAACGTGTATTTTGCCAATCTCTGCGAAGGCGGTTTTTAATTTTGATTTTATCTTTAATGTGATCAGGTAATTTATAATAATTTTGCCTGAACTTGGGTTTGGAAGCAGCCGTAAATGCGCTTCCTAGGGTTTGGTTGAGCCTGTCAATGGCTAAGTCAACCTCCTGATTATCGTGAATTTTGATAGGGGGGAGAATACCATTTTCCAAGACATACCGAAAGTTGTCCCAATTTGTGGAGACTTGCGCCGGTAAATTTTGGTTAATTTTGGATGTTTTAAGGGTGAGGTGAACCGGATAATGGTCAGAGGACAATTCCGGAATCACTTCGATCGAATAATCTACTGGAATATTTTTAAATAAGGCCAGAATCAATAATGGAAGGAGCACCTAACCCCCCAGGAAACTGGAAATGGGTAGGTGTGTTTGGCGCTATAATTTGGATACGGGCGTCCTGAACCCAAATTTTGAGTTTATCGCCATAGTTGTTGGCAGTGACACAATCCCAACTTCTATGACGGGCATTTAAATCTCCTGCGATAATCAGGTTATTTGCTACACCACTTAATTTTCTGAGATCAGAGATAAATGCGGGTCCCTGTCTCGGAGGCATATAGCAGGACGCTACTGCTATTGGGGGGGGGGCAATTTGGAATATGAATTTGTACAATAGTCGCTTCTAGGGCCTCCAGTGGTGGCGTGGGTATCCTAGAATGCTTTAGGGAGCGTTTTACATAATATGCTAGTACCGCCACTAGCACGAACAGTGTCACTGATGCATACCTCTCTGTCATTTCGGTAGCAGAAATAATTCGCGATGTTCGCGCTAAGTCCCTCAACCAGATGTGTCTCCTGAACGAGGAAGAGGTCCATGTGATGCTCATTAATAAAATCCCGGACTTCGTGAATCTTCTTCTTGATTCCGTTAGCGTTCCAGTAGGAGATCAGGAGAGAATCTTCACTAGTTGCACAGTTGAACTTGAGGCCTTTAGTTTAGGAGGCCACAGTATGCCTCATAAATATAAAATGCTCTCTCAGGCCCCGTGGAGACATTTCGGAGCCTAGGGAGAGCATTTCTAAAAGCCTCGAGGAGGATTTTGTGTCTATTCCGAATTCCGAGGCGATTTGGAAAACGCTCCTAAGAGGTATCTGTGCAACTGCCATCATCTGCGGACTGGGCTGGAGCCTGGGCCGGTGGTGGTGGCGGAAGGAGAGGACTCTTCTTCGGGCCTTGCTTCTTCTCAGGAGCTTGCTTCAGATCTTTCGTAGATGATGGTAGTCCGGGATTTTTCCGTCCGGAAACGACATCACTAAAAGAGGGGTCCGTGCTGCTGATTGGAGCTTTAACCGGAGCCGGTACGAATTTTGACATCCCGTTATCCGATCTAATAGGGGGGGTTTTATTTTTATTTGCCGGGTTTCTGGGGCAGTAAAACCAGTTGGCTGCGTGCCGCCCAAGGCAGTTCGCGCAGGTGTTGGCTTCCTCCGGGTCTTTGGTACATTGGTACGCGTAGTGCGGGCCGGCGCACCTCAGACACCGGATTGGCAGTGTGCACACTGCGGAACTGTGGAAGAAGCCTTGGCAGCGCCAACACTGGCTCGGCCCCTTCTTCCCGATATGTTTCTCGAATTTGATTTCGATGCCAAACATTGAGGTCTCTTCAAAAATGTCATAAACGTTCAGAGACGGATTTAGCTGGACTAAGAATAATGGCATAGGATAACGGGACCTGTGCCTACGGAGCTGAGTCACACTGATAACAGAGTATCCTAAAAGTTGTAATTCAGCCTTAATTTTCTCAGCTTTTGCAGAATTAGGTAAGCCGCGAAGTATAGCCTTTACAGGCCGATCCTGTTTTAAGTTAAATGACTTATATTCGGCGCCCTGATTATTTAGAATTTGGGCCACCGAACGATAGTCCTCTTCGGACTGCATTTCAATGCGTAAAAATTTGCCTTTCATTCTGCAAATAGCCGTAGGCACAGTTGCTTGGACTAGAGATGTAAGAAACTCAAAATCTTTGGGTTCAACAAAGAAGAAAGGTATTTTCCTTTTAGCTTTGTTAGAGCTTTCAGTAGGGGGGGGGGAGTACCGTCTCCGGGTTGCTCCACGAGATCATTTTTCTCTTCCACCCTAACCGCAGGTTGGGTGGGAGGCAATTCCTCCTCTGGTTGTTCTCTCCAAAATGGAGGCAGGCTATTGTTCGGGACCTGTTTTTCTGGGGAAATCGGCGCTCCTCGTGAAACAAGATGGCGAGGAGGCCGCTGAAATCCTTCATCATCTATTTTTCTAATCTTTTTAGTTTTTGGTAATTCCGAATTTTCTCGTGAATTTAAAGTTAGTTTCTGGATTTTTTTGGTGCTAGATAGTAATTTTTCTGCTTGTAATTTAGCCGGTTTTAGTATTTGCTTAGAATTTTGAATTTTGGCCGAATTTTGATTTTTATCCAAGGAATCGGATTTTAGTGAGATTTCATCGTTACTAAGTTCCTTAGCCGATTTCAGTAATTTTTTAATACATTCTTCCTCAGTTGGGGGAATGGCAAAGAGAGGCAGATTCAGGCGTTTAGCAAGAGTGGTAAGATTAAAAAGCGTTACCTTAGATTCTTGTTGCACGCACTTGAGGTCAAACTTGCCAGCGGTGTTGATCTCCTCGCTCTGGATAGATTCTGTTCTAGGTCAGTAAAACGGGCCTTGAGTAAGTACAGCTGTTTGATCTGGATCAGGAGGTCGTCCGGATTCATCTGATGGTCAAGATTGGTGTCAGAGACAGGGACGTCGATGTCTGTAGACGTCGATGTATCCATCTCGGCGCTTGCTTCGGAGGGGTTGCCGGCCATGATTTCCGGCGTCGCGTCGCTGCAGGTGGCTTGTGGGGAGCTCATTGTCATGCGTCCGCACTCTACGAGAGACACCCTGCTAATCAGTGCTTTCGGTGCCAGGGCTTTTTCCATTTTTCGGAACTCTGCGCTCTTCCAATCCGTTGTGTCAGATGCTCTGGACCCATTGGGCACGTGAGTGTACCAAAGGCTTAGATGTATCTGCCACTTCCTGCAACTGCGGTGGAGACCATCCTGCTTCATATAAATCTTGTACCCGCTACCCAGGTAACAAATGGGCTCGTGGTAAAAATTCCGCGCCTAAGACTAGGGCAGCTACTCAGACAGCCCCCTCGCAGGGTTCTTCTAAGCCCCCAGCAAATGCTGAGACAAGACGTCCCATGCCTGCTCCCCCGAGCAACGTCAGTTCACCATCTTATGCACAGATGGTGAAGAACACCACCGAGCACTGATTCAAATCCACGAATCCAAGACTGCCGGTTGCAGAAGCCCCTGAAGTCCCAGCAGTGTCAGCCACAGCAGAGTGTAGCAATGATTCAGACGATGTCTTCTCATCTACACTAAAATGCTTAATCGAAATCTCCCGCGACCCAGCGGTAGACAAGCATATTCTGCTCCTTGCCTTCAAAAAAGCAATGCCTAATCTCAGGCGAGCAGATGCTTTAATGAGGGCATTTTATATTTATGAAAGCTATGTTGAGCTTTCAACCTAATTCGGCTTTTTTAGACCCATGTCTTCTGCTTTTCAGTGATGAACCTCTAATAACGGCCTAAATTTCAACTTTATTAATGACAGTTCAAACACCACCAGAGAACTGACCATTTGCACGTGGAATGCCAATGGATTGACATCTAAAATTCACGAAGTTCGTGATTTTGTATTAGAGCACGATATTGACGTGTTTTTAGTCCAAGAGACTCATCTTATCCAAGGGAATACTCCCAAAATTGGGAATTATAACATTTATTATACGGACAGGGTGTCACAGGGCAGAAATCCCAGTGGTGGCACTTGCCCAAGGTGCCAGATTACAAAGCAAAAAAATCATGACTACCAATAATAGCAATCAGCCTGTTAAGGACAGTTTTGTAAAATCTGGAGTTTCCTATGCAAATATAACTTGTGGGAAAACCCCCCAGATTCCTGTGGAATCAGTTAATAGTGAAAAGAGTGAAAAAATTGTAAATAATGATAAAAAAATAAATAAACAATGTAACCGTAACGATGTTGGCCTATCTGGCCTATTTGAAGTATCCAAACTTATAAAAGATATTGTTAATATGTTCAATGGCATATCCTTTGTTAATGTATTACGAAAAATATCAAACAAAATGCCTGAACTACAGGCAACCCAAACACTGTAGATAAATTGTTTATTTTATTTGAATTGTTTGAAGAAATCTTTGGATCTGCCACTAATGTAAATAATGTATAATGTGAATAATGTTTTGAATATAATTACATGGAATGCAAATGGATTATCTCATAGAATTCATGAGCTAAGAGACTTTATTAATGAGTACACTCCTGATGTTATGTTCCTACAAGAACACAAACTTGGCCCAGCCACACCTATTTATGTACAAAACTACATAGTGCACCGTTCAAACAGATCTCCGTCAATTTCCCGCCCAAGAGGGGGTGGAACTGCACTCCTGATTAAACGCTGCATCCCACATATTCCTGTCACAATACCGCAGCTTTCGGTCGTGGAGGCCTCTGCTATCTCACTCACAACAAGCACTTCCACAACATACATTCTTGTCTCCACTTACATTCCCCCGGGACGTCATGTATCTGCAGTCCTGGCGGACCACAAATATTACTCAGTCTTGGAAAACACATTATCCTAGGTAGAGACTTAAATGCACGACACCGCGCGTGGAACTGCTACAATTCAAACGACACGGGACGTGTAATTTTCAACTTAGTCCACTCGGCTGGATTACACATAGCAGCTCCGAAAACCCCAACACGGTACACCACTAGGTCCACCGGGATCCTCAATTTCTTCCTGCTCGGAAATACCAGTGTCCCACTGGATATTTCCGTGCTGGACGAATTATCATCGGATCATAACCCGGTTAAGATGATTCTGGACATTAGTGGGTATACCACAACAGACACAAGAGCCTTTAGGACCGACTGGCATATATTTGCCAAAGCTCTCAACAACATACACTATACGCTCCCTACGATACAGACTGGGGATGACATTGATAGTTTTATTCAGGAGCTTACCCAAAAAATCAACACTGCACATGACGAAGCCAAAATTGAAATTCCAAAAAGGAAGCAGACAAGGAGCAGAGATTTGGAAGCACTAATCAAGTAAAGAAATGCAGCACGTAGACGTTTCCAACGCACAAGGTGCAGAGAGAGATAAACAACAGTTCAATCGCCTATCAAATGCAGTCAAGTCTCTTACACGCGAACAAGCACAACAAAGCTGGACCAGCTACCTTAACTCACTTTCCACAGATGACAACTCACTGTGGAAAGCTGTCTCTAGGTATACTAAATGCTACAATAAAATTCCGCCCCTTAAAGGCCCCACGAGGATTCACTACACTGAAACTGAGAAAGCAGAATTGTTAGCACAGCAACTGGAATCTCAGTTTTGCACGAACAACATACATGATACATCAACAGAACACATTGTTTACACATTTCACAACAGCATCACAACAGATACAAACATAAACAACATCCCTCCGGTCATGCCCTCGGAGGTTGTTGACTATGTCAATAAACTCAAGAAGAAGAAGAGCCCTGGCCTGGATGGCATTACTAACTCCATGCTTAAGAAACTTCCATTGAAGATCCTTTTCGTACTAGCGAAGCTTTTCACTAAAGATTATGCAGCTACAATATTTTCCCACAAGGCATGGAAAACTGCGAAAATCATACCCATCCTCAAGCCAGGAAAGTCATCATCAGACCCCGAGGCTTATCGACCGATCAGTCTACTCTCCTCCATGAGCAAGCTCTATGAATCAACACTCCTTCACAGAATCAACACCATCTGGAGCAAACAGCATCCTCATCCCAAGTCAATTCGGTTTCCGGAAAGGCTTGGGAACAACCAAACCAACTGTACAGGGTGGTGGAGCTCATCTCTGAAGGTCTACACAAGAAGAGAGTCACTGGAGGTCTGTTTATTGACATAGCCAAGGCCTTTGATCGAGGTCTGGCTGGAGGCACTTGTTTACAAAATACACAATCTGGGCTTCCCAGATTACATCACAAACATCACCAAATCCTACCTAACAGGTAGAAACTTTGTCGTTCACGTCTCTGGAACAAATTCTACTGTACACCCTATAAGGCAGGGGTCCCTTTTAGGGCCCACTTACTTTAATATTTACGTGAACGACATCCCTACAACACAGAACACAACACTGGCTATGTATGCCGATGACACAGCAATCCTCACACAAAGTGCATTTGCTGGTTCAGCTATCCAACATTTACAAAATTACATACAAGCACTGGAGACTTGGCTCCTGCAGTGGAAAATTAAAGTTAACATCGACAAGACCCAAGCTATCCTGTTTACAAGAAAAGAAAAATTTAAAAAGAATCTCACCATGTATGGCAATTCTATCCCCTGGGCCAAGCAAGTCCCTTATCTTGGGGTGACCCTCAGTAAAACTCTGTCATGGAACCCACACATCACAAATATTATCAATAAGTTTCGAGCCCGTAAAGCTCAACTCTTCCCCTTAATTGCTCGAAACAGTGTTTTGTCAATAGATAACAAGTTACTCATTTATAAATCCATATTGCGTCCATTACTATGCTATGCATGTCCTGTATGGGCGTACTCATGCAATAGGTATCGAGGTAAACTGCAAATAGCACAAAACTGTATTCTCAGGCAAATTGCTAACGCACCATGGTACGTGCGCAACAATAAAATACATGAAGAACTGGGCGTACGCCCTCTTAAGTCTGTATACTATCAAATAGCCAAGAGATTTCACTGCAGGCAGTTAACAATCCAAAACTCTGCTATTAAGATACCTGAGTACGACCCATACAACTTGGAAAACGAACACAGACCATTGGCCATTCTTAATGAGTGGATTATGTAGCATAGCATAGTAATGCATTTTTGCTTAATGAATTTATATATCTATGTAGCACCTTCTTTCTTACTACTGTTGTAATCACTCATACTGTATTTTGTATTATCATATATTTATGTTTATCTGTAAATATTCATACTTACCAAGGGCTGGTCTCACTTTGTGCACTGCTTTAGTCATAACATCTTGACTTTCAGGTTTTTCACCACTCGATAGCTTTCTGTCCTTCCATTACAGCTACTGAAAAAGATTGCCTGGATTAGTTCAGGAGATAGGATTATAACTTAGAATATACAAAAAAAAAAAAAAAAAAAAAAAAACTAATGAAACTAATAAATTCTCTACATGGGGGGGGGCAGTCCCTGGGTAGAGCCTTTGGTGTGCATTACATGTGAAGCGTTCGTTAAAGCACCACATGATACCGTCCCCTGATTTAAATTTTTTGGAAGCGACAATCATCAAAATTTTCCTTCAAAATTCCTCCCCGCTGACAATAGTCTCAGCTTATTTACCTCCACTGTCTACAGCACGTGGAAGGCCAGCTTTTCCTGTCAGTGATTTTGATAAACTTTTGAATATTTCAAATCACCTAATAATTGCTGGTGATCTAAATTCACGCCATACCGCATGGTTTTGTTCTAATAGGAACAGGTATGGTATTAGTCTAAATTCATGGTGCCAGAGTAACCATGTACAGATCATAGCTCCTACCCTCCCGACCTTTTTACCCTGTTAGAGGGTCCCCTGCAGTTCTTGATCTGGCTGCCTTTTATAATATATTTTTCGGCATGAGATAAAAGTGATTCAGGAATTGGGCTCTGATCACTACCCCGTTTTGATAACCCTAGATATTCAAAATCGATACTCAAAATTAGAGGAGCAAGTCTCAACAAATTGGGACGACTTTAGATTTATTTTGGAAAAAACTTCACTCCCTCCCATCAAAATTTCCAGCAATTCGGACTTTGACAGGCATATCAAAAGTTTGGAGTCTTTACTGAAAGAAGCGAGAGCTGCGGCTTCAAAACCACGCAAACACCCAGGTGCTAGGCTCCCACCTGAGACTAAATTCAAAATTAAGCAGCGAAATTACTTGCGAAGAATTTGGCAAAGGTCACGAGATCCCAATATCCGTGCCCAATTTCGCAAGATACAGAACGAGATAAGGACCGAAACCCGCTTATTAAAACAAGCGGAGTGGAAAACATACATTGAGTCCCTAACGACTGAAGACAAGTCGATTTGGCTCGCAGCCGCCCGATTACGCAAACATAAAACACATTCCGCCCCTTCAAACGGCCGATGGCGCACAGATGGCCTACACTGACTCAGAAATGCAACTCAATTCACACCAAACCACGACTCCTACTGTAACCGCCCGGTTACACAGGGGCGCATACAAGCACGGGTTAAAGATTTTTTAACACAACCTATCACAACTGAACTCAGGCCAACGGACCCTACTGAAGTCATGGTTTTCATTGACAAACTGAAACCTGACAAGGCACCTGGCATAGATTCTATTTCGAATCGCATGATCAAAAACTTCCCCCCTATGTTTATCGTATGGATCACGGTACTCATAAATTTAATGCTCAGGAGAAGCTATTTCCCCGACTGCTGGAAAATTGCAGCAGTCGTCCCCATTCCAAAACCGGGACAAAATTTAAACTTGCTTGCCCGTCAATTACAGACCCATGAGTCTGTTATCTTCTCTCTCTAAGATCTATGAATTTGTCTTACTTAATCGCCTGAATGAATTCTGTCGGGATCAAAATTTACTAATCCCGGAACAATTCGGCTTCCGACCTAAACACTCCACGGTACACCAGTTACTCCGTGTAGTGGAATTCATTCATGAAGGCTTTCGTAAGCGAGAGAAAACTGGAATTGTCTATCTAGGACGTTGCCAAAGCCTTTGACAGGACTTGGCATGACGGGATTATTTACAAGCTCATGCGGCTTGGTTTTTCGGCTCATCTCATTAAAATTATTAACTCGTACTTGACCGGACGCAGTTTCCGCGTGCGAGTTAACCACGAATTCTCCTCTCCCCGCCCAATCTATGCTGGGGTGGCTCAAGGAAGTCTCCTCGCCCCCGCAATCTTTAACCTTTATGTAAATGATATTCCTAAGGCCCCAAATATCGATCTTGCATTATACGCAGACGATACAGCCATCATTTCACAACACTCCAACACCCTCCAGGTAATCTCACAATTGCAGAGTTACCTTTCGACCTTAGAACTCTGGCTCGGTCTGTATAAAATCAAAATTAATGTCGCAAAATGTGCTGCCACTATGTTCATCCGAAGAAATATCCCAAATTTACCCAATTTAATGCTCTTCGGTGAACCCATTCCCTGGGTCTCTTCTTACAAATATCTAGGTGTTTTACTAGACTCAAAATTAACTTGGCAGCCTCACATCCGCAAAATCATAGCGGGTGCGACAGCTGTCAAAACCGCCCTACGCCCCCTCTTAGCTAGTCAATAGCGACCTGTCAACTGATAACAAAATCTTGCTCTACAAATCAATGATTAGGCCGGTTCTTACGTATGCGTGTCCCGTATGGGGCCCATGCGCACTGACTAACAGAAAACATGTCCAAATTTTTCAATCTAAAATGCTTCGGCAAATTCTAAAAGCTCCGTGGTATGTACGGAACGAAGAGATTCATAACGACCTCAAAATTATGCCCATTAATCGCTATATACAGCGACTTTCGGAAAAATTTTTCAAAAATATTCAACGTGTCGCTAATCCTTTGCTTCATATGCTACCCGTATATGATCCTGCTGTTGCTTCTTCCCGGAAAAGACCCAGAGCGGTTCTTAACAGGGAATATTCAGCTCTGCCATTTAAACGGGCTAGATATGAGCACACTGATAGCCACGTGAATAACTACCTCTCGTTCCTTAACCCCCCCCCTCTAAAGTTCTTTAATGCACACGGCATTAACTCGAGGAACCTCCTTTAACGTTTCTTTAATAAGAAACATCACAGTCAAATAGGACTGATTTAAAATATCTTAACTTTCAACAATTGAAATAAAACTGTAAAAGATTTTTTAAATTATAGCTTCTCTCTTCCTTTAAAAGGAACTTTCTTAGGCGCTTAACAGCGTCCTTTTTGGCCTTTAAAAACCGCATTGAATAGCGGTCAAAAATGAAACTTCTCCCTCCCAGCTGATCACTGGCAGAACTACTTTTTCGACCTGTAAACAGGTTCCCCCCTCCCCCCCCCCTCGAAGAACGC